ACATCAGGCCTAAGTGGCATTGGGTGAGGAGGCTCCTGGACAAGGAGGTGCGGCTGGAGATTGTGAAGACCCATCAGCAGGCGGCTGACATTCTCACCAAGCGCCTGGCTGAATCTGAGCATTGGAAGGGCATGAAGCTTGCTGGGATGAGTGTGCATTGAGGATGCATGCTTGAGCTATGGCATGTGGGATGATGGTTGGCAGCCAGAGGGGGAGTTTGTTGAGTGATGCTACCATTCGCATTCACGTCTGTCTGCCTCCCATCATATGTTCGTGCGTTGCATGCGTGTTGTGAGTGTGTGCAAGAATTTGTGTTTTGTGCGGTTTGGTTTTTCTGAGTGTGTGTGTGAATGTTATTTGGCTTGAGCAGATATCTGAAGTGACTCCTCTGCTCAAGAGCTTTCCGAGGAACCAAGTATCGCTTCAATCGGAGCACGAACTAGAAAGTTACGAACGTTGGAGTTCGTATGCTTTTGATATTTGGTTGTGGTGACTATGGGAAGTTGTGGGGTTGACTCAATATGGGGTACAGACTTTTGGGGGTTGGGAAATTCGTCTTTTCTACTGTAGTTGCTGCCAAATGGTTGGGAGAAACCAAACCAGGTTGGCAAGTGTGGCCAAGTTGGGTTGAGGTGGATTGTGGAGGTTGGGATAGTGACAAAGGTCAAAGTTGGGTTGCCTATGGGGAAGGGAATTGTATGGCATGGGGTTTCCTTGGTTGGGGACTCTCTTGGGACCTTCCCTCTCGTCCTCCTCATCCCCTCCTACCTGGTTCTATTGCTACTCTAACTTTCTTGTGTGAACTTGTGAGATCATTGTGATTGAGTTACGTTTTCTATGGCAGCATACCCCCTAGTGCGCCGAAGTTCATAACTCGAGTTATACTCCATATTCTGATACTATTCAAATTGGGAAAGATAGCCACGGTCAAGGGCTATAACATACTCGAGTTTGAAAGAATTCTAACAGTGGACCTTTCGTCGACGACGTTTCTTGTGACAACGACTTTTCTGTCCAGAATTGTAGTTGACGATTTTGAGATATTTCAGCCCCTAATCTTCATAGACTCCGTCCTTAATCTCTAACACACAGGAGAAGCCTACACAGCTGCAAAGGCTTAAGGGAAGGTTCCAGGCCAAGACGAAGCTGAATCGGCCTCGGATAAATCCTTCTAACCCAACTCAGTTGAAAACTGATATGGAGTCAACAGCTTCGAGCGCAGGACCGAGGGATGATCTATTCGACGTATCCTACGATCCTATAAGCGAGACCATCTACGGTTACTCGGAGCAGCAACAACCACTACTACTGGAGGCGATCTGCAACGGGCGACGCCTCCAGGCACTGGTGGACAGCGGTGCGTCTCACTCGGTGTGCGACCACGAGACGTTGGAGAAAATTGGAGAATCTTCGAAGGAGACCAAGTTCACGGCATCGATGGTGGATGGTACGAAACTTCCCATCCACGGCGAAGCATCACTGCAGCTGCACATAGGGGCGCTGAGGTGGAAGCCGACGTTGCCGATCACGAACATCAAGGGTCTAGATTTCATCTTGGGGCGAGATTTCCTGAAGCGGTTCAACCCCGAGATCGACTGGATCAACATGAAGGCGTGCATCTACAACAACGGGAAACGAGTGGAGCTGCGAAGCTGGACGGATACAGGGAGCGTTCCTGAAATGACACTGGCACGGTTCGAACGGACGGTGAACGAGAGTAACACGGGTTACTTAGCACTGATTATGGCAGCAGCAGAGGAGGAGAAGCCGAGTACGGAGCTACCTGCAGCAGTGAAGGAGGTCCTGGAGCAGTACAAGGATATATGCCCAACGACCTACCTGCATGCGTACCTCTAGCACACACCCACGAGCACGAGATCGTGGAGGAACCAGGTGCGAAACCCGTCTCACGTGCACCATACCGACTGAGTCCGACCGAACTGACAGACATGAAGAAACAGATAGAGTATCTATTGGACAGACAACTGATCCGCCCATCCACCTCTCCATACGGTGCACCAGTTCTCTTCACTCCAAAACCAGACGGCATTTTATGGATGTGCATCGACTACCGCGCACTGAACAAACAGACAGTAAAAGACAAATATCCCATACCGCGCATAGACAACTTACTGGACCAACTGCGTGGTGCAACAGTCTTTTCGAAGCTGGACCTACGGTCGGATTACTGGCAGATCAAGATGGCGGACAACTCGATCCACAAGACGGCGTTCCGTACCAGATACGGCTCCTACGAATACTTGGTGATGCCGTTCGGACTCTGCAACGCACCAGCAACGTTTCAGGCGGAGATGAATCATATCCTTCGACCCCTGCTGGACGAGTGTGTGGTGGTGTACCTGGACGACATTCTTATCTACTCCAAGAACATGAAGGACCACATGGAGCATCCACGGAAGGTGTTCGAGATCCTGCGGAAAATCAAGTTCTACGTGAAGCTGTCGAAGAGCGACTTCGCCCTGAAGAAGGTGCAATTTATCGGGCACATGGTGAGTGCCGAGGGCGTACACGTGGACCCACGGAAAATCGAAGCCGTCAAGAAGTGGAAAGTACCGGAGAACGTGAAGGAGTTGCAGCAGTTCCTAGGCTTTGCCAACTACTACAACAGGTTCGTGCCGCAGTATGCTAAGATAGCAGCGCCACTGACCGACCTACTGAAAAAGGATACGCCCTACAAATGGGATACTCCTCATCAGTAAGCCATGGAGCAGCTACAGACAACACTAACTACAGTGCCAGTACTCATCCCACCGGACCCAGACAAGGACTACGTGGTGGAAGCAGACGCTAGTGACCAGGCAGTCGGAGCAGTACTGATGCAGGATCACGGACGCGGTTTGCAGCCCATCGCCTACCTCAGTAAGAAGCTACACGGAGCAGTACTGAACTACCCCATCCATGACAAGGAAGCCTTAGCGATAGTCATAGCCTTCAAGGCGTGGAGGTGTTACCTAGAGGGAGCCAAGACTACAGTCTATACTGACCACTGCAGTCTCAAATACCTGAAGTCGCAGCCGACACTCTCACGACGACAGGTGCGGTGGGTGGACTTCCTGGAAACTCACTTCCACTACGACATCGTCTACAAGCCCGGGCTACACAACAAGGCAGACGCGTTGAGCCGCCCCGGACATGTAGCAGGCATCCAGCTCGACGGGATGAACCCTCTGCTCAAGGGTCTATTCCAACATGGGTACTCCGTGGACGCAGAGATCGCTACAGCACAGACTAAGAAGTTGTTACAGTGGGAGAAAGACTTAGCTGTAAGGAAGGGTTCAGGGAAGATTTGTGTACCGAATTACGCCCCGCTGCGGCAGATCCTATTGGAGGAGTTTCACGACGTACCTTACGCGGGACATTTCGGTAGCAACAAGACGTTAGCAGGGATAGCGAAGTATTACTACTGGCTCGGGATGGCAGCAGACGTGCAGCATTTCGTCACCTCTTGCGACACGTGCCAGCGGATGAAGAGCAGCAAGCAGAAAAAAGTAGGGTTACTTCAGCCTCTACCCGTACCGGAGCAGCCATGGCAAGTCGTTAGCCTCGACTTCATCACGGGACTTCCTTCGACCTCACGAGGGCATGACGCTATACTCGTGGTGATCGACAAGTTCTCCAAAATGGGTCACTTCATCCCGACCAATGCCACGGCTACAGCTGAAGCAACTGCTCGCCTATTCTTCGACCGCATCATCACCATCCACAGCATCCCCGCTACACTCATCTCAGACAGAGACCCAAAATTCACCAGTAAGTTCTGGAAGGAGCTCATGGGACTATTGGGGACCAAACTTGCGATGTCCTCAGCATACCACCCACAGACTGACGGACAGACCGAGCGACTCAATCAGGTGGTTGAACAGTTACTGCGCACAGCTTGCAAAGACGACGTCAGCCACTAGGACACACAGTTACCGACCCTGGAGTTCGCTTACAACAACGCATCACATGCGGCCACAGGGAAAACTCATTTCTTCCTGTGTTACGGACGGGAACCACTCACACCACAGCAGCCAACCACACCGGCACAGGTCCAAGCCGCACATGACTTCGTCACCACCATGCAGCAGCTATGGGAGAAGACTCAGCGACGTCTCACCACGATGCAGAACTCCCAGAAGCAGTATGCCGATCGTCAACGACGAGATCACTCAGTAGCAGTCGGAAATCAGGTGCTTCTTGACACGCGCAACTTGAACCTGTCTCACCTCCCATCCAAACTCCGGCCTCGCTTCTGTGGTCCTTTTCTCGTTGAGGCACAGCTGACACCAGTTACATTCCGCTTGCGCTTACCAGATACGTGGAAGCTTCACAACGCTTTCCATGTTCAGCTACTGAAGCCCTACAAGGACCCCAACAAACAGTTCCAGGGACGCCAGCTACCGCCACCACCACCTGTTCTCATACAAGATGAACCAGAGTACGAAGTGGAGCACGTTCTCACTCATCGGCACTGCGGCGGCAAGACCCTCGAGTTCCTGATACGCTGGAAGGGATACGACCCCACTGAGGACAGTTGGGTTGCAGAAGCTGATATGGGCAACGCACGCCGTGCTCTCAAGGACTATCTTGTCAAGCAGGGTGTTTCTCACGCCACCCAGCTTTGAGGGGGGGACGTGTGAGAGTACGACGGCTTATGCTGGCTTTGCTAGCTTGCCTGGACGTTATTACGCATTATCTAGCTTAGCTTTATTTTGCTTTGCTTGCTTTTGCTTGATTTCCTAGGTTCGTTGCTTTTACTATAGTTATTATAGTTATAGCACCGAACTAGGTTGAGTGCACCGAATTCTAGGCTTTTCGGTTGCCACCGAATTGCCTTCTACCGAATTCGGGAAGGACCCGTTCGGGACGCTTCGCGACCCGCGGAACCTTCTAGTAACACCCGGGTTACTGCCTTTGTGTCGAGCCTATATATAGCCTCGCCTTGTACCCAGGTGAATCATTCAATTCAATTACACTTCTGTTTTCTGACCTTGATCCTAGATCCTCACAGGAGAGGTCACAGCATGCCCCGTCTGGGACCGGGGGGAAGGAGGGGGAGGAGGAACGGGTGGACCACCGGGAGGAGGCGCTGATGGGGGCAGCGGGAAAGAAGGCGCGGCCGGAGGGGCATGAACGGGGGGTGACGCCTCGGTTGGAGGATGGGTGTACGGAGGAGGCAGAGGAACAGCGGCGGGCGGGGGCTCCGACGCCGAGCACGGCAGAGACGATGCCGACTGAGACAGCGAGGGAGGAAGCCGCAGCGGCTGGGACTGCGCGGCAAGAGCGGGTTGCTGGAGGAGCGGACCGACCACCTGTCGCTGGACAGCAGGTGAGCGCCGAGGAGGGCGGCGGGTACGGAACGACCCTCCGCGCGCGCGAAGGTACGGGTGGGTCCGCCCACGAGGAGATCGATAAATCGGATCCCGGGGGTGCGAGGGGACGGTGCCCTCCTCGCGCGCGACCAGGGCAGCGACGGCTTGGAGTAGGATTGGCGCCAGCACGCCCGGGGCCTCTGGCGGGGTGGGAGGACAGAGGAGCAACCAATGAATAGCAACGAGGAGGAGAGTGGCTCCGAATATAGTGCAAAGCAAGAAGCGGAATCAGAAGATGTCTCCGTGGAAGCAGAAGATGGGGTACCCTTACCAGGAGGACCAAGGCGGGGATGTGGACAGGGACGAGGGAGGGACACGGGGGGGGTGGACGGGACTGGACAGGTGGGCGAATCATAAGGCAAGCCGGCAAATGGGGCTGCCAGCAAAGAGCGGTCACCAGCTAAAATCATGGAAGATGGTGACGCGTGGAAGCGGGTAGAGGCTTGGGACCTAGGTCCCCTACGAGCCAGCTCCCAACCCTTCCTGGTCAGGAAGCTTCCGCCAGAAATTCTAAAATCGTTCAGTCACTGCCTCACCATACCACTCCTGCGACTGTCGAGGCAACCAGACTGCCTCGGGGCGTGGCGAATCCTGCTATTCCTGCCCAGACTGACACTGAGGGCAACTCTCGAGAAAGTTCCAGGAAACAAATGGCAAGCGGTGGAGTCGAGGCTGAGACAATTCCGAGAGGAGGATTGGGATGCACTGTACCTACAGGCCAGTACCATCCCCGCAGATTCCAAACCCCCCAAACACGAGCCTGACCCCGAAGGCATTTGTGCCAGGGCGGAAGGACTGGTTCGCATGGCCAACTTGGCGAAAGCGACAGCAGCCCTACACGTAACACCACTAGCAGAGCCATCCCAGACAACTCTCGAGGCCCTCCGCGCGAAACACCCTGGAGCAACACAGGCGATACCGGAGGGAGGTAATGGTTACACATCCAGTGGGCTCGATATCAGTGCGGACAAGTTTCGCAAACTGCTAGCGAAATGCCCCAACGGCATCGGTGCAGGCCCATCAGGCACCTGTTTCGAACACCTTCGCGACCCTGCCTTAACCAACGCGGAAGTGTTTGACCTGCTGCACAAGATTGTGAACCACCTGCTAAGCAGCTACCAGAACGAGCAGATACAGGAATTACTCCTCCCATCTAGACTGATCCCCCTGAGCAAACCGGACGGAGGAGTTCGACCGATAGCAATAGGGGAAGCACTACTGCGACTAACAGCCAAAGCGGCACTCAAGGAACTAGGGGAGGAGATTCGCAGCTACTTCATGCCCGTACAGTTCGGTGTGTCAGTCCCAGGGGGTGTGGAATGCATAATACACACGACTAGAGCGCTACTGGCCGAAGATCCCACGCGGATAGCCCTCCAGCTGGACATAGAGAATGCGTTCAACTCTGTTGAACGCGGGAGCTTCCTAGGGTCGATGAGATGGACCAGGCTAATATCTCTCCTCCCGCTCGTGCGCACGCTATACGGCTCACCATCGAAGCTCCTCCTGGACAGTGGTTTCGGGGTCCCATCAATTGACAGTACGCGCGGAGTCCGCCAGGGAGACCCGCTCGGCCCAATGTTGTTCGCGATGGCAATCCAACCGGCACTTCTGACAGTGGCAGAAGCGGTCCCATCGGTAACAATAATGGCCTACGCCGACGACATCACAATCGTGGGGGAGGCGGGAGGGGCGATTAAGGCGCTTGACATGATCTGTGGGGAGCTCCATTGTCACGGCCTGAGATGCAACCTCACCAAATCATCTGCGTGGAGCCCCTCGGGGATCTCGGATACCTTGCCAGAGGGACTGGTGGCGGCGGTGGACGGTATAAGAGTCCTAGGGAGCCCAGTGGGCACGATGGGGTTCTGCAGGCGGTTTATTAGGGGCGCGCTAGGAACCATGTCTGCACCCCTCGGCCTCATCGGCCGCCTTCACCCTCAACACGCTATGCTGCTGCTATCACGGTGCATCTCCCGCCGGGCGTCCTATCTCCTGCGTACCACACCTGCAGACGCGCTACCACTCGGAGAATGGAGGGAGTGGAGTGAGCGGCTACTTTGGACAGCCCTCAAGGCGGCCCACCTACACACACCAACAAAGGAGCTCGAGCAAAGCCTGGTATGGAGACAGGCGACTCTGCCGGTGGCGCTGGGAGGTTTAGGGCTCATTGACCCATTCTCGGAGGCACCGGCGGCATACCTGGCCTCGCTAAATGCAGCCCAGAACCTCCTGCAGCAGGTTACGGCCGCGCCAGATCACCCGCTGCGGCGTGTAGGGGAGCTGGTCTCACCGCAAGGGGAAGGGGCAGCAGTGGGCAGCAGAACTACGCTACAGGACATGCGGAACAGGCTCCGAGAGGCGGCACAGGAGCTGCTTAGGGGTTTCAGCCAGGAAAAGGGGGGGAAGGGGCAACTTCAGGAGCTCCTCTCCAAGCATATCAATCAGGACCGGGCAGCGGAACTATTGGGCGATACTCGGGTGGATAAACCGGGGAGGATAATGGCCATGTAATCTGCTTGATCAGCCTGTAGGGAGTAGGGGCAAGGGATTGGCTACACGCCATCCCTACGAGAGGGGACCTGACGTTTTCGCCGGGCCAATATGCAATAGCCCTGGGCTTTCGCTTGGGGCTGACCCTGCCAGTGACAGACACGTGCCCGTGCCACGGTGAACGATCACATGTACATGACCGGAGCCTCCCCAACCACCTGCTGAGGTGCGCGGAAGGAAAAGACAGGACAAACACGCACAATTCCCTGGTGTATGCGGCACTGCGAATGGCGCGCGAAGCGGATTACATGACTTTGCATGAGACCACTGTCTACTCGCAACCCGTCAACCCTAAGCGAGCGGACCTGGCTATCAAAGACCGTGAGTCTGCTGAAACGTTCGTCACAGACGTCACGGTCACTGATCCGGTGCTGCAGCGGCGTATTCGGGCTGGCGGTGGAAACGTATGGGGCCTTAGCGCAGGACACCCAGAGGTTCCTTCGTCTCCTTGGCACACAGGCGGCAAAGAAAAAGCACAGGCAGGGGAGGCTCACCTCGGTAGCCTCCAAGCTGACTGCACATTACCGACAACGCTGGTCGGTGATGCTGCAGCGCAGCCAGGCGAACGCCCTGCTGGCCAAGTCCAACAGGGCGACGGAGAGGGCCTTCCCCCAGGCCCCAGCAGACCCGTGGGAACCCAGCCTCGGGGACCTCTAGCAGGTCCTTGAGGATGGGCTGGACTGGGGGCCGGCCCTGGATGGGTGAAGGGAGAAGGAGGGGCTGGAGCGAGAGGAGGCTCCAGGCCGCGGTAAAGGGGTTCGGGGCACTGGGTAGGCCCCTCGGTTGCGCTGGCCAGCCATTGGGCAGACCTTACAGGAGGGTGTTGGCTTGGCCTGATCACAGTTGGGGTCGCATGGTTGCAGGCTAGCCGGCCAAATACCTAGACTGTTTGCTTAATACCAAGATAATATCTCTTGCATGCCTAGGGTTTGCTTGCTAGAATCTTGCACATGCCTTGCTTGTACCCTGTATACACATTAATGTAGGACCGCTTGAGAGAGAGAGAGAGAGAGAGAGAGAGAGAGAGAGAGAGAGAGAGAGAGAGAGAGAGAGAGAGAGAGAGAGAGAGAGACAAGCACCTTCCACTTTTGCGAATACTCACCTGTGAGACAACCACCTTTCCACCACGCGATTGGAGCTGCTTTTGAGAAGCATAACCAAAGCGTCTCCACTGCCACTGCCTCCAGTCCACCCTCGCCGCCAACCAGACTTGATGATTGTAACACATTGCGGCGCAGAGCATCACTTTGCAGCAGGCTCAGGCCAAGCCCGTAACCATGGCCTGCCCTTGTCCCCGCCCTGCCATGCAAGCATCCCAGACTCTAACGAGCGAACAGTCCTTGGCTCGGTTTATCATGTCTCCCACAACCCGCTGTACTTGCCAAGCAACCAAACAATGGCTTTTGAGGCACCTCAAAAGTTCCCACACGTTGCTGTATTCTCCAAGCATTTGCAGTGCGCGAATGGAGAGGCTGAGTGAGAAGGGAGAGATCAAAGAGAATTAGAAACATACTCAACGGGGTGAGAACAAGTAGGAGAACTGCGTTGGACCTAAGAGACTCACCAGATTCCCTGGTGAAGCCAATATTTGGCGCAGCACCAAGGAGGAATCCCTGGAAACAGGACTCACTTGAATTCAATGTTACGGCCAGAAGGCACCTGCGGCACATTGCCAGTGAGGTAGTTGGAGCTCAGGTCCCTGGAGGTGTGGGGGGAAGTGGGAAGGGGGGGGGGGGGGGGGGAAGATGGAGAGATGGGAGGAGAAGGGACGGGAGGGAAAGCAGGTGCGCAGGCGCAGCAGGGAGCCGCGACAGCAGGGCGGGCGGCGCACGGGGTTGCGAGGCAGCACGACAAGTCGCGCGCGCGGGGCGTAGCAGGCAGGACGGTTGCAGGAAGGAGGGAGTTCCGAGAGAGACAAAAACTCCAGAACCAGCAGTTTGAGGGCAGGTAGGTGACCGAAGTTGCTGGGTAAGGAAAGGAGAACGCATTCATAGAGTACGAGCGTTTCCAGGCGGCCGAGGGAAGCGAAGCTTTCAGGCAAGCCAACAAGAGAACGGCACTCGCGGATGGTCAGCTTGCAAAGGCATGGCAGCAAGTCTTCAATGTGGTCCGGAAGGCTCGTGAACCCACTGCAGTTGGTGATGAGCAGCTCCTTCAGCCCAGTGAATGGCGATGCTGATGGGGAGATGATGGTGTTGAAAGGAGGACAAGAAACTGCAAAAGTGAGCGACTTGAGGCAAGATGGCAGCACTATGCTTGCAGCACCCGTCGAGAGCTGATGGCTCTGGTATGGGGCGAAGGTGGTTAGATGGGCGAGCCGTGGGAGGCGAAGGAGGGTGGCTAAGTGCAGTAGATTCCAGGGAAAGGTGACACACACGGTGATAAGAGCCGTGAGGTTTGCAAATTCGGGATTCTCCAAGGCCGATGCGTCATCGAGGACAAGGGTGCGGAGATGCCTCGTATGAAAGAAAGAACCCGGCAACTCTGTCGCTTGGTGGGGGCAGAAGAGGGAAAGCTCCTCCAGCAGAGGGAGCTTCATGAAGAAGCGATCCAAGCCGTCCGTAGATATCGGATGGTCCTCCTTCCTACGATAAGGCTTAGATTCGAGATCCTCTGGGTAGATTTGCACTGCAAAGCTCCTTCCCACATGGAGAGTCGTCACCTTCGGGCATGACGCAACGAGGTGAGCAAGGAACGCGTCGTTGAGCGTCTCGACGCTGTTGTCGCTGAGATACAGATGGGTGAGATCGGGGAAGCATGCGACGGCGGCTGAGAGATCTTCGAGAGACACCACGAGGTTTTCTTTTACGAGCAGCGTGGTCACGTGAAGCTTCAATAGGCGACGCCAATGACGGCA